CACTAATAAGATGAAACTGTTAATGTAAACGTCATGTAATTTATATTTAGAAATATGGTATTGTGACGCTTAATTGATCATACTCTTCGTCTACTCAGTGAAGATATATTATTACGTTTGTATCGGAAAAGTTTCATTGTATAGTGATGGAATGCTAACATATGAAGACTGGAACCTGTTTTCACCTCCAGGTGAACGTAATGTGTACACAATTTTTATAGTGCTACACAATATTTTGTGCATGGGTGAACGCTATTGTACGAAGCATACAACCAAGTCAATATACAACTTTATATACTTCATTACATGCGTGACTGAACGGTACATTTAACATTATGTCAAAGACATTTCAAATTTAATCCGAATCGAATCCATCTTACTCTTGGTCTACTCAATGAAGATATATCGCTTACGTTTGTATGGGAAAAGTTTCATTATATAGTGATAGAATCCTAGCACTATGTATAATGAGGTTGAAACCCGTGTTCACCTCCAGGTGAAAGTAACATGTATGTGATTGTTATAGTGGTACATATTATTTTGTGTATGAGGGAACGTTATTTTACGAAACATACAACCTGATCATAATATGTATCCAGTCATGTTTGAACAATATTCAATTTTACACTTTTCAAAAGAATATTGGACTCATGTAGCTGCGGCCAAAACAATACAAATATACTATTTCTTCCAAAACGACAGCTTCAGCGGTAAAACGCGGCAATTTTAACTTTCCCCCTAGTTTTTAGAAGCGTTTGAAGAAATATTCGTCAAAGCGTTACCATAAACACATGCGCAGCAAAATACACGTGCATGCGGTATCGATTACTATAAAAAGGCAAACGTTGTGTTTAATTTTGGCATTCGTTTTTGCCTGGAAAAGAGGAAATCGTCATGCCACGACTGAGTCGAAAGATCGCCATAGGTTGCCTTGAAGCTGGGGAGTCACAGTCTGCAGTTGCCCGACATGGGGATCGTTTCCTGCAGACCAATTCCGCCCAAAGTTACCACCCAAGCCCAAGAACGCTACATTCGGGCTGCTCACGTGCGTCTGCGTCTTGCTACAAGTGTAGAGACTGCACAGTGCATCCCTGGTTTGAGAAGAATTTGCAACCAGTTGTCGACCCTGTTTTGAGAGACTTCCATAGGCGCAATCACTTGCGGTGGTGTCGTGTAGTCCGGAACTGGAATCTTGGAAACTGGAGGCGAGTCTGGTTAAGTGATGAATCACGATTTCTTCAGCAGCGTGGTTACCGTCGGAGAAATGAATCTTTGCTCCTAATTGCATTCGACAGGTCGACAAATTCGGCGGAGTCGGTGTCATGGTGTGGGGTGCAATATCAAGCACATAAAGATCTCAATTAGTGGTAGTTCAGAGGAATTTGACAGCAAATCAACGAAGTCCTTGCACGTCACATGCTTCCGATTATGGACCGACATGGGGAGTCGTTCCAGCATGACAAAGCTACTTCACATACAGCACGCGTCACGGTATGCTACCTTGCCAATTCTAACATCAGTGTTTTGCTATGGCCTTCCCGACCACCAAATCAAGAACACCTATGGGATGAAACACGCGCCAAAACACGCCTCAGACACTTCCACATCTGGCCATCGTTTGCAGGAAGAGTGGGAAAGACTTATCAAGTCTGTGCTGAGACGTTGCCGAGCAATAATTGCTGCCAATGGTGGCAATACAAAGTACTGACTTTGACGCCATCTTGTGGACTCGAGTAAACAAGGCAACACCTGTTGTGTTGGCAAACTCTTTGTCTATATACATGTGGATTTTTCACCGTTTTACCATTGAAATTACATGAAATAATTGCTCTTAAACTAACGCAATACATTTTGTTTATAAAATGGCATATGGGTTTCTTCTTCTTTTTTTTGAAGAGTGTATATACTTTATTAGATGCGTGACTTAAAGTCTTCATCTTACTATTTGTAAAATTCGTTGTTTATACCACAGCCAGAGACAACTACATGCGGCATGTGAGTTGTAGACATTGTTCCAGTCACACCTGTGGTTGATAGCATGAACACGGCAGTGCGGTGGCATCCGTTTAATATCAAGTCAAGAAGTATTTTTGAACTGCATAGAACGTCTTTATTACATTTCACGAATGTAATTACATCAGTATCAATCATTGTACTAGTCCAAGTACGTTAACGAATAAGTACCTATTAAAATTTTAATGCTTTTTAAAGATCTTCAGTTATTTTTGGATTCAATTATTAATTGTGTTGGGACATTTGCAAAACAAACGCACTAATTAAATCTGTTTATATTGTAATTTCAAGCGCAGGCATAAACATATGTTCGTACTCCAGTCCGGTCCGTTTCGTTCCAACTTGGGTCAACTTTTCGCGGATATTCTGGCAGAGGAATAGGGGTGAGAGGTCCTTTTTCGGAAATATATTTTCCACCAAATTAATAGAAGTAGACAATGTATCAAATATTACCAAACGTGTTTTATGTTCTGAAAAAATGGTTTTGGGTTAAAACATTGTTTGGTCTGTGGACTTCTTGAAGTTAATATACCTGTTGCATGCAAAAGAAACAAGCCTCCTGGAATATCACAAGGTCACACCTTAGATCTCAGAGTCCATCTTTGCACCGCGACAAAGGTTGTCGTACGTCTCTGACTTTCCCTTGACGTTGCCCTTGACATTGCTGATGTTTAGCGGCTGATACCGAGGGAGGTCCTGGTAGATGTTGACCTCAGGTCTGTCGTAGATGTGAGGTAGGACATACACGTTGTCAGGGGCTGAGGCGTCCTTGTCGTCGTTACAATGGTTGTCGTAGGTGGCTGATCTGTCTTCGACGTTACCGTTGGGAAACGTGGGATCACGTTGTTGACAGAGAGTTATGTACTCAGTTTGCTGGAACACGGGGTGATTATTGGTATCGGGGGTGTCACGGTCTTCTATTACTGCCTTGTCATTCCCTGGTGACTTAGCCGGCCCGTAAAAAGCATTTGAGAAGGATGGCTTTGTTACCGAAATTGCAGAACTACCGGCTTCACTGTGACGGGTGATTTGTGGGTTCTGGTAAGGAGACATTTTCTTTCTACGATAGATTCTCCACCCAATTAGAGCACCTGCTACGGACAAAACCAACAACACAACACCGAAGACCGAACCTACAATAGTCCCAGTTTGGCTGGAAGTTGATGCTGTCTGTGAAGCTGAAACAAGAGATACCACAAAATAATACAATTATTATGATTTACAAAGTAATTTTAGCTCCCTTTTTAAGGAATATGCTATCATTTTTTTGGTTGAAAACTAGATTTTACTGCAAAAGACGGACGAGATTTTCCACGTGTTTGTTTACTTGTTATGTTTGGCAGTTTTAGTTGTACCCAGTGTTACCTCACAACCCCTCTTATGATTGCTTGTCAGCAACCCATGCTTGTCGTAAGAGACGACCAACGGGATCGGGTTGTCAGGCTCGCTGACTTGGTTGACACATGTCATCGGTTCCCAGTTGCATAGATCGCTGTTCATGCTGTTGATAACTGGATTGTCTGGTCCAGACTCGATTATTTACAGACCGCCACCATATTGCTGAGTACGGCGTAAAACTAAACTCACTCACTCACTCACTATGATTGCTTGTGAGTCAGACACGTCAGTTTATGTCAGCGTGAACTCAAATAGTCACAGTGGTACATTAGTTTTGGTGTTGAAGGACCCACGCTGTCTATACCTGGAGTCCACGGCCACCTTGTTGTTGTGTCATGAGACCATGTATCTGGATATCTGTACTTCAGAGAGAAGATCGTGTTGCTTCCACTGGGGAGGTTGGTAGCGTTGAAGCGTAGAGCCAGGCACGATGCTGTACGGAACGTGTTCTTCCTACCATAACACCAAGATCCTAAGTATCTGTAGTTGTTGCGAGGTTCACCTTTAGTTTGAAATGGAACGTTTATGTGGTATAATGATTACGCAAAAAAAACACACAAGCAAACCCGAAAATATACCAATGATATCAAGTCGCTGTGTTGTTTTTGAAATTTCAAGTTAGTGTCCCTAGTAATTGGACGAATACAGTTATTAGGCAAATCGTGGTTTAGTTATCATACGAATAACAGTAACTATAGTCTGTTTGCAGTGAAAAACGTACCGATGAAATTCACTTTATACAAAAAAGTAAATCAAATAAAGTGAAATTAAGATTGCGAATCCTCATAACTTTACCTTGCCAATTGAACATTAAAATCTCAGAATTGTATTCAACTTACGATTAAAATTGTTTAACAAACGATCATAGTTTCAAATAGCTATTATCGAGTCTGGACCAGACAATCCAGTGATCAATAGCATGAGCTGCGATCTACACAATTGGGATACGATGACATGTATCAACCAAGTCATCGAGTCCGACCATCCGATCCCTTTAGTCGCCTTTACGACAAGCATGGGTTACTGAAGATCAATTCAACCCCGGATCTTCACGAGTCCATAACACTGAGGACAGATAACTGAAAATCACTAATGACACTATAGGTTTGAGAAAAACTCGTTGAGTATAAGCATGACAGACTAGGGGTATAAATGATTTCAATACGTTTGTGTTTTTGAAGTAAAAAGTATATCGTGCACTCTTTGTAAATTTAAAGTGTCTCTAAGCAAATTGCGCTTTACATCGCATATTGCTTAATTAATTATCAATTATCAACATTCATGAAACTGTACAAAATAATATGAAATCACTGACATAGTTAGCGGTATAAGCATCTCCCTTTCTAGTGCTTCGATAGCTAATCAACTGGCAAGGAACCACTTGTTACATATGTACTACATAACAGCATGGAGGCCAGGGGTATAATTTCTGAAAAAACTGAAGAATTCAATATTAATGGTGACCACTGCACTTAATAAACAGTATTGAAACTTTAGACTGTTTTGAAAACAAATAGTTGTTTCCCTTTATCGAATTTCTCTTAAATTAAACGCCATGGTTACTTCGTCAAGTCATGACATACCTCTCATAATATGGATACACTGTGAAGAACTCCCTCTTGGTTGCTGTTAAGGTCCTCGGAAAGGTCGTGGCATAAAGAACAGTGCGGCACAACCACCATGCTGCGTTTGTGAAGCAAACATACGTTGATTTTATAAAATACGAAAAGAAAATCAGGAAGAGAGTTTTTATGGATGTCAACTTCTTTATTATAAGGAGCAGAACGATTCAGAGTATATCCTTACTCCTTGATCTGGTGAATGGTGAACACATTCACCAGATGAAGGAGTAGGGACATACTCTGAAAGATTGTGTTCCTAAAAAATACAGAAAGTTGACATCCATCAGAACTGTCTTCACTTCTAAATGCCATTCAATAAAACCCAACGAAAATCATCATGATTCTAAGCGGAAGAATAATTGTCTTCAAGGTTTTATAAAAAAAATTAGATGACTTGTTTGACAGCCGAGTCAAGGCAGCGTTCTGACACATGTTTATTTGGATATTGCACTGACATGCCTTACGTCTATTTTGATTTAAGGCAGTTTAAGCTTCGTATAAAAGATGCCTGGTATATACTTAAGATATGTCTTAGGGATTATACATACCGTCCTTAGAAGAAGGTGAATAATTTGTCTGGTTGTAGATCTGTGAAATAAAATCACAATGTGGGATATCGGCCGTTTGCCTTAAAACTGCGTGGTAGTCGATAGTGAAAGAACCATCGGTAACACTGCTGGCGTTGTACCAGATCGCCAAGCTGCTCCCCAATGACCGGAAAGAGGTCGTAGAGTTCTCGCACCATGAAGTTCGCAGGTGAGGTCCTTATAGGAAAACACAATGTGGCGTTAATCATAAGATGTCCATGGACGGTATTATCCATAAGGGTACGAAGCCCGAGGTTAATATCTTTCAGGTATCTTCATATCTTCATTTCAACGACTTTATTGAGTGTTCAGTTAAAGCCACATGTAATCACATTTCTGCATTGAGGAGAACAATGTCGAATGACGTCTTCCGTTATTCATGGCGTTAGAAAATGATTACATCATGTTATCTTTAAAGGAAATTGACTTTAGTTAAGAGTCGCTATATGGTTGGCGCTTGATACGATTTTTGTATTTCATCTCTTAAAAGGCAATGATTAATACACATGAAGATAATTGATGCTTTCGAAACACGGAGTTACGGATTATCTGAAGCTCTTGGTATTGTTTTAAACACGTGTTCTCATGTGTACGTTCAAAACAATTCCATACTGATGATGTATACAAATAGGTCTTGACTTTGTCCAATTCTTTAGCATTGGGTAAATAATTCTTTATATTGTCTGGAAATAAGGAAAGTCTGCGCCACTGACGTCAGGTTTGACGACAACAATCTATCTTCTACAATTTATCGTAATAGGATACGGAAGAACAATCGGTTAAGCCGGCCGCAATATGTTGGAATATTGCTCAGTTTGGCGTTAACAACAAAATAATATGTACTACTAAAAAAAAACAAAAAAAAGACATGGCCAGTACGTTTCCATGTAATATTTCGAAAAGGAATCATAAGTGTGTGTTTAATCAGTACATCTATGGTGACTGTTCCCTCCAACCATTTTCGAGTTTGAATCCGGTCGCCAAAACGCAACCAAATCTGTGTTTCTCAATTAAGGTAATGAAGCATGAATATGATGCGATTCATGCGCTTTCTTTTGCATGTACAATGTGTTCAACTTTAAAATAAAAACCAGGGGTTCTGATTGTTTTAGCGGTAGTTGACAAACGTAAATCTTGAAGTGAAGTCATGCCTAGACATACTGAGGCTCAGCGCAACAATGCGATCGGTCATTTGGAAGATGGTGAGTCGCAGTCAGGGGTTGCAAGGTAATTCAATGTGTCCCAAGTACCATAGAAAGGCTTAGGCACCAGCAGCATGGAACGGAACAGGTTCACGACCGCATGCTGTGCAACATCTGTAGTGCAAGGACTCCGAACAGTCTCGTACCAAACTGTCAGGAACCGCCTTCGTGAGGCTGGTATTCGTCCTTGGAGACCTTTGCGGATGAATGGTGATTACAAAGGTGGAGAACTGTTGCGTTCAGTGATGAGTCGCGGTATATGCTCAGGCATCCTGACGGGAGACCGCGTGTGTACAGACGTTATGAACAGTATGCTCCAAAATGTGTACAGGAAGTGGACAAATTTGGTGGCGAAAGTGTTATGGTGAAAGGCATTTCAGACAGTGGAAGATCCGATCGTATTCACGTCCAAGACAATCTTACAGCTTGACCTTTCTGTGGTGAAATCATCAGGCCTAATGTCATTGCATTAGTGAACCGTCAGAACATCATTTTCCAACATGTCAATGCTCGACCGCATACAGCAAGATTTTCTTGCTCAGCACAACGTTCAAGAGATTTCATGCTCAGCTCAACGTTCAGGTTCTTTAATGGCCCTCCCGGTCACCAGATCTGAACCAAGCCTATGGGACGCCGATGCCAGGTAACCATTGGTGCTAATGGTGGTCACACAAGATATTGACTGCTCTGTGACCTTGACCTTTCTGCAAATGTCATTTGTCACGTCCCACCTCTACTTCCATTGGACAATACATGTTCAACAGTGTCACTATGTGCTGCGTCACTAAAATTACACGCATGATTATTTGACCATTTTCAGCTATGCGTTTCTATTTTGAGAAGTATATAAACAAAACCACATGCAAGTCTTGTATATGTCTAGGCAGACAGAATTTCTGTCAATTCTGATTTTTTGTCAAAAAACATTAATTTAGCCACGAACCTTCGAAAACTTGGACACCGTGACTAAAGCAAGGCGAAGGCAGCAGCGATCGACGAACTGCTACCTGCACTTCCTTGTCTGCACTTGTCACGAGTGTTACGCTACACAATCTGTGCCAGAAATGATAAAGGTTTGTCTCGTAAACAATTTTGATACAGCAGCAGCAGCAGTAGTTGTAGCAGTAGTAGTAGTAGTTGCAAAAGCAGTGGCAGATGCTGCAGCAGCAGGAGCATTTTGATCTGTTTGCCATGGTATAATGTTCAACAACAGCATCACAAAAGTCGTCATTTAGTTGAGTAGTAGTAGTCGTCGTCGTCTTCGTAGTAGTAGTAATAGTAGTAGTAGTAGTAGCAGTAGTAACAGTAGTAGTAGTAGGAGGAGGAGAAGTGGAGTAGTAGAAGTAGTAGTAGTAGTAGTGGTAGTAGCAGTAGTAGTAGAAGTAGTAGTAGTCGTTGTCGTCGTCGTAGTAGTAGTAATAGTAGTAGTAGTAGTAGCAGTAGTAACAGTAGTAGTAGTAGGAGGAGGAGAAGTGGAGTAGTAGAAGTAGAAGGGGGAACAGGAGGTAATAAGTTTGTGGCCTTCTTGAAATGTTTCAAATTTAGATTGTTTTCTTGTTGAGTAAATGTGAGACATTACTTTATGTTAACCACATGTAAACTTCCCCAGCCCACACTAAACAGACATAAAAAATATGGATGTTTTTAATATTTTATGTGCTCGGTTGTCTCAACATAACACTACCAACCAAATAATCATGAATAATTATGTTTCACATATAAAATGTCTGTCAATAAATTATGAAATAGGAGTGTTACCTTTCGTTTTGTCCAAAGGCCGGTATATCGTGGATGGAGGAGGTGTTTACATTCACTGTTAGTGTTCGAAGCTCGAGATCAACGTAAAACAAGGAGTAACAACTGCTGATGGGCTCGACTGTATGAACAAGAATAAGTCACCATTATTGTTAATGAAGCATACAAGAAACATGCAGATCAAAAACAACCATTCTTATAGCAAATATCAAACATAAAGGATCCTGGTTTGGAATATGTGAACCTTCACATATGTAGCTCTCGGCAAATATACAAGGCATAGTACAAAAGATATTACAATAAGTTGGGATAAGATATATGGATGAACAACTGGAGTAAAGTGTGTGTAGTTTCTCCCACCGTTGTCAAGCTATACATGAAGCTATATGTCACATCACTGAACTCACACTGCTTCCTCCTTTACAAGTGTAACATTGGAGTAAAGTGTGACTATGGAGCCAGTGGTGTACCGAGCAGTGATCAGGTTTTCATACTTGAAAGTTCGCACGCCAAAAGCGACCTTTTTCATGAAATGAAAGAAACTTGAGGGGATGATGCCCCATCATATGATGTTGTGAAACACTGGCATCGCCAGTTCAAGTGTGGCCGAAATTCTGTTAAAACGGTTCCCATTCCTGGGCGCCCCCATTCTGCCATTGATGAAGAAACCATCCAGCAAGTGGAGGCTGCCATTTTAGAAGACCGACGCATAACTGTTCGCAAGTTAGCCCAAAGTGTCAAGATAAGTGGAGGGTCTGTGGAAAAACTCATTCACGACTATGTGCTATGCTCTTTTGGACATGTGCCAAGAAAACTAGGAAGCCATGTTTGACAGACTTGTGACACAGGATGAAACATGGGTTCATCACTATGACCCAGAGACTAAAGTCCAGCCTATCCAGTGGAAGCACTTTGACCGGACAGAAGCGCGCTATTGTGGCTATGAAAACATTCTACACACACCCTATTCTCCTGAACTGGCACCATCTGACTTTCACCTGTTTCCAACTATGAAGTCATTTTCCAAGGGAGCACGGTGCCCAGATGATGAAACACTGGTTTCAGATGATTACAGTATTTTATGTAGACCATTTATATAAGTACATATTGGCTTCTGCAAACAGGTATTAATGTCATGTTTCATAGACAACTATTTAAGTTTCAATAATTCAATTATATTTATCAATAAACGAAACATGGTTGGCAAAGTTGTTTACATGTCTTATTGGACTTCCTTGTTTTGGAACAGTCTCTCTGTGAAAGACCAATAAACAACTGCTTTTGACGTGCTTTTCTGTTTCTTACGAAAGTAGGCATAAGTGCTCGCGAGATTACCAAAAACGAGACCTGCTGTGAGTAAAAGTTGATACTGATACTCGGGTCAGAAGTCACATTGTGTTGTGTCAGATAACAATGTTCAGTCGAGAGTGTATCACTTTGTTGATACTGTAGACCACGTATCACTTATTAAAGAGTCAACATCGCCGACAGAATGGCCTCAATGTGTGTGTATGTCTCTACGTTCCTCTCCTGTCTGTTTCTCACACTGAGTGGATGCGTAGCTACAGTCGGTAAGCTTGTAGAACTAAGCTACTGGTGACACCTCGATACATCATCTATGACGATGGTAGATCCCAACCCTTTCTGATGTCTACCACCATCCACGATTCTCTGGTAAAGTATACCAGCGACCACAAAACCTTGTCTTATAACAGGTTCAGTTTACAAGATCATATACACTCCACCCACGTTACCCCGGACAGTATCGTCACGATTACAACAGTCCGGATTAGTTTGCATCCTGCTATTATCCCTTTACCCCAAACGGAATTTGTTTCTGAGGGTAGTCAAGACTGGGTATACTCTTGCACTAACGCCCCAGTCATCAGTATTTCCAGTAGTATGACGGCGGTCTGTGAAAAGTCCAATCGTGACCAATCAATCAATCAAAAACTTTATTTCCGTACAAAGGCCATCGGGCCATCACGCCAACATTACATACACTTCATTGGCTGCCAATCAGAAAAAGAATTGTTTTAAGGTGTTGGTGTTTGTGCACAAGGCCCTTCACAACCAAGCTCCAGAATACCTGACTGAACTAGTGTCATGGTATCACCGGACACGAACTCTGAGATCAGCCTCTGCAAAACAAGCAGTAGTGGTCTCTGCCCGCAGAGCAAAGTATGGAGAGACTTTGCCAAAGCAGGTACTTTGTTAGGAAACCAACTACCTGAAAAATTTAAAAACTTGTCAGATATCATTCCATTCAAAAACCTAAAAACAGTTCTCTTCAACATAGCATTCTACCAAGCGCCTTAGAGCAAACCTTGGATTCAGGCGCTACACAAATTTTAACATTAATGTACTTTCATACCTACAATACAATTTACCTACACTCCCATCCGCACACGTGTATACAAATACTCAGAACATACAATACAAGTTTTATGGATAAAGTAGATAAAACGTATGATATGATAGTACAAAAGTATAACATGGTGTTTAATATGATCATTAATCATCTTGTAATATATTTCATCTTCGCTGATAAGAGTGCATTGTGTTATAGGCTGAGCATTTTCAGACTATGTACGTTATTTGTCATAAGTAGTTTACTATTTACTTAATTTAAATCTGCAATTTCAAAAAGATATTGTTCAGGGTTTAAATAAACTTTTGAATACTCTATACAAAACATAGCGTGTGCTAATGTCAAAAACAAATCTCCAGTTTTGCTTTTAAACATCCACTTAACGCGTTTTAAACATTCTGATAAAACTTACACGATTTCCAACAGTTTGTGACAGCCAAATAAATCCAAATCATAAGAGCCAAAAGATATATTTAGGTCCATATATTTTGCCAAAGTTATTGAGATTAAGTAACATTTCATAAGTTTTCTTTGGTATGCGATCTTTATGCTTAGTTGTTATTTTAATCCAGTAGTTAAGACAACGAACAGCTGCTTTGGGAAACGGCCACATTTACTATATCCGGAAATAACTGGATTTCATGTTTTCCATTTTGTGTCATTTCTATAGAAAGCTCATTTATGACCAAGGAGAAGAGTGTTGGGCTCAGCATACAACCTTGTTTACGACCAAAAGGACAGTGTTAAAGTAGTCTGATAAATGTGAATTACATGGCACACGTGATTTAACGGAAGAGTGATTGCCTTTTAGCGCTTTCATCATTTTCCGCCCTAAACCATAGCTTGATAACAAACTTCATAATTTAAACCTGCTTATTGAACCAAAAGCCTTTTTAAAATCTATAAAAGTAACAAACAATTTCTTTCTCATTTTACATATAAAACATTTTTCAATAAGTGCATTTAACATGAAAATGTGATCTATAGTAGAATAAACTTCTCTGAAACCCGCTTGAGTTTCTGATGAGAATTGCCCATCGAGTCTGACGACAGTTTAATATGCTGGTATATAATGTGCTTAAAATAATTTACAATGAAATGCCCCTATAGTTATCTTGGTTGTGGATATCACCTTTCTTATGTAATGGGATAATTATTGCTTTACTCCAAGCATATGGAAAGCTCCCACTCTCAAATTGTTTATTAAATAATACGAGAAGAAATGGCATAATGATATTTTCAGATGATTCTATCATTTCTCCCAGAATATTGTCGACCCCAGGCGATTTACCAAATTTTAACCGATCAGGAGAAATCGCATGCGTACACTCTGTGATGCTTGATATTTGGATATGTGTAAATTTCAGTTTCAGAAATGCTCACTTGTAAGTTGTAATGAAGACGGTTGATGCATGTATATCATATGACTTTGTCACACAGTTTGAGGGATATGAAATGAGCCTCACTGAAGTGTTCGATGGTGATACATTCTAACAAAGCCGCTCCTGATGACTGACATACATAAGTCATGCTATAAATATATAAGGATTCGTAGCTCCACGGTGTCCTTCAAGTACGTTTCCGTCGTACAACAATTATAGCATAATATCTGCTGTTGAAATTGCAAATCACACTATCGGCGTCTACCTGTAGCATATTTCTGAAAAATGTATGCTTAGCAATCAATGACCAGTTGTTTATGTTTGCTTGCTAATGTAACTTACATGGTGCTCACAAGATAAAAGTAGTCATCGTTGGAAGTTTGTCCCACGTGGCCAGGGTAATTAGTCTAACGGCAATTTGCCAGGTAGTATGGGATGATACGGCCAGCCGATACTGAATCCAAAATACAGCAAATTGCCTTCTACATGGCAAATTGCCGTGTAACGGATGTATTACCTTCAGAGTTTTCAGGTGTTTTGTATGTTTCCCGGAACCGTTCTCATTAGTTTCTTTTCTTTTTCCGACGGGTTATGGAACCCAAAGCGTTTCGCCATAACAATTGTGGCTGATCAATCGATATTCGAAGGGACATAACTCTTGTAGGCTTAAAACGTATGTTTTATGGGCCTTGCTATTTCATACAATACCAACGTTTAGATATGTCTTTGATATTCCAATCTGTTTCCACTTCATAGATAAAAATAGTATAGTTTATTCTCAAAACATTTTTTGATAAAAATAACTTTTTCCCCTGAATTTTTCAAGTGAGTTGCATTTCAATGTCAAAGGTGGCAAATAGTTATGGTCGTCCATGTACGGTTTCATACTCACTGGTTGTTGACCAATCACATGTTTTCTAATTTATCTAAAGGGCAATAATGATTTTCTGTATATGCGTCTTTTGTCAGTCTAACCCCTTTTTTAAAAAAAACAAAAACATTCTAACTGGAAATTAAGAAGCCTAGTACATATATTACAGTTTCTCTTCAGTATTGTATTTGGATGATACAGAGAAAAACATCTCTGCAGCGTATGTACACTTCTCCCCTGACTTGACGCACTGAGTGAGTGAGTGTGTGAGTGAGTGAATGAGTCCCAACCTGTGAATACGGGGAATCGGCTTACAGTTGTAGTTGATGCTGGGTCAGTCTACTACGTGTCACACTCAAGACACTCTGATTGATTCCACAAGACAGCACTGATTTACTAAACAACAATTGTACAAGTACAATAAATCGATGTTCGTATAACGGGATTATATTTTTCAAAACGAATGAAACAGTTGGTGATACATAATCCAAGATAATTAAAAGACTATCTTACAACGTTCTACTTAATTCGCATTCTCTTTCAGTCCTTACACTTGTTCAAAATCTCCCGTTCCTTAATCTGTTTCATTTGATGGATGGACGGCGGGTAGGTCGCCATAGACGTTGCCGATAGATTCCTTTTTCCCCGACGTGTCTAAAATGACCTTGTCACAGCCTTTACCTGCAGAATCACTGGACGCGTCTCCTTTCTCGACTGCTGTGTTGGGGAGTGCGTTCCCTGCTGTCTCACACTCTCGCACCGGAAGAGACGGATGACAAACCATCTCAGAAACTGTTGGCAGGTTAATGAAGAACGCTGACGATTTTCTTGAGCATTTACCGATTACAGCATACACGGGGTCGGTCTCGACGTGTGGATCGTACGTTGCCATTTTCTTCCTCTTGTACATTGTGCAGAAAATAACAACAGCTGTTACAACCATGAGAAGCACCACGACACCAAACACTGCGCCCACCACGGTAGACAGGGAGCTTGCTGAGGATGTTTGGGAATCTGTTAATCAGAGATAGGCGTTATTGGACAATGTCATGAATATTCCAGATACATGGCGGTATCTCTAAATAATCGACTATGGACCAGACAATCCAGTGACTGAATCATCAGCATCGATCTCCACAACTGGGATAGGATGACATGTGTCAACCAATTAAGTGATTATGATCATCCGATCCTGTTTGTTGTATCTAGCGACAAGCATGGGTTGCTAAGCTTAGATTAATTCTAACAAGGCTTTCACGGGTCAATTGGAGTGTGTTCATACTGTTTGGAAGTGCGCAGGACTGATAACACCTTTGAGAAAAATGTATCTTTCAATTTGTGCTTTCTTGCCTACATCTGCAAATTTCCCTAATGATTTTAATAAAAGTGTGCGATTGGCGATTTGGTGCCTCATATTAACTAAGTCGAGCTGGTACCGTGTCGCAGGTTCGACACAGCGTAATATAGTTTTATCTCGAATTCAAACTAACGCTTATAACGAACTCACTGGGACTACAGGTTTTTGTTGGTTATAACCAAGATTCATTATATACATTTCGATAGAAATATACAGTGAGCGGCCAGGAGGAAACATGGGAGACATCCGTCAGTTTATTTTAAGTGTGTTCGTTATGAACGTAGATTACTGTATGACCATTATTGAGAGGCAGTCAAGAATGAGAATAGGTTCGAAATAAACATACATTAAATACAAACGGAATTCGTGATTACGAGGCTCGTCTCCACATATTCAAGTTACCAATGATTATTCATAGAGAGCGTAGTTACCCAATAAAGGAAGCCGTGTCTTCCTGCTCGCCACATAGATCACCTTGAACTCCTGGTTAGAGCCGAATGTTCCAGAAGTGTATTCGAGGTAGAGTTCCTGCCCTGAGCTGACCACAGTGACAATAGCTTGACCACACCATCTACCCAGCAATCGTGAAGTAGACGGAGAACCTTTGAAACACAAAATAAACCGTTTGATAACTAACCTTACGGCTATCTGGACAGTACACTTGTCAGTCAGTTTATAATACCATGGTTAACATTAGCAATGATTCACATGAACCAGTGAGGTTTTATTCTGTTTTGAAAACAGCTCGAGTAATATCTGTGTATGGAGCATGAAGATCTCTTATTTGATGAATAATATACAGATATATGACATGGCGAGTCGTGTCTGACATTTTGCGTTAGGAAATAATTCTCTTGAGCGACTAAAATACCCCACCAACACCTCTGGGTTTCAGACTATAAGACTAAGGGAGTGAATATGGCTTTATGCCACTGTTAGAAATATTCCAGCTAAATGTCCCTGTGTGCTGTATGTTTCCACGTAGGAGAGCAAAATGCTTTTACACCAACTTGCCTGAACTCACCATCAAATGCCTGAAGATAGCGATCCTTGCACGGATACGGTCCCTCATCATCGTGTTCAGACACGATGTTAACTTGCACCTTATAATCAGAATCGTTCAATGCTTGGGTCGTGAGGCGCCAGAAACATTGGATGTTTCTACAAATAATCATAACATCCGAAGTCAACGTACGCTTTATACAATGTATGTATGTTGATATGATTAACTGGTCTTTTGGTAGTATTACCATAGCTAATGCATGCGGTTTACATATCGACAGATTAACATTAGTTTATTAACGCAACGACTAAAGATACTCTTCTCCTTTCATGGCCATCTGAATATATACAATAGATAAATATTATTTAATTAGTAGTTTTGATTATCAACTTGGATTGTTCAGGGCTGTATCCTCAAAGGGGTTTAAAGTTCTGTAAAATTATTGTCCTCCTGAGAGGGTACGTAAGTCCCAAAACGTTCAAAGTAAATTTATACTTACTACGTTTTTAACCACAGTATAGATTGTCAAACTTGCTTACATTTGAAGGGATGGAAGAAACCCAGTTAGGCTTCATGCAGAAAGCAAATGTACTGTAAGTCCCGATGGTCCCTAGTATGGTGGTCTACCTTCAGTGGTTGGCAATATATAGCCTGTTTTTATATTGTATTGTCTTCTGTAATTAAGCTGTGTTAGAGTTACGTACTGTCTGTGATATTCTAGTTAGTTTTACTGTCCTTCGCTGACAATTTTTAAAAAACAAATTACCTCGTTTAAGTCACGGTATGGCTGAAATATTGCCGGTGTGACTTTAAATCTTAACTCACTCACTCACTCTGAATATTGTACATGCACAATCAATCAGTGAATTCAATACGTACAGTTGCCCAGTGGGACAAGGAAGGACTTGCTCCTGTTCTGTGACAACGATAGGGATTGGGGCAGGGCTACACGTCCACGTCCTCACTGAAACCACAATACACTTTAATATTGGACCATTGTAGAGAATATTTAAGTTGTATGATGCAGCTTGTGAAAGGCGCTAGTATATATTGCTGTTGTTTAATGTTGTTCTCTCTAGTATTTTCAGCTATATGACGGTAGTTGTAAGCATCCGGAGCTAGACTGGACAATCAAGTGATTGATACTGCGGACAACGATCCATGCCGTCATGTAAGATGACAGCTGTCAGCCAAGCTACCTGGTCACTACTTTGTATGTTGCTGGGTATTATTACAGTCTTTCCACGCTTTTTAACTCGTGCACGCCCACATTCGTGACCAACTCGTGTTATTCCGGGACAAGCCAAATAACGGTTACGGAAAGGGGCGAGTGGTGACGAATGGAGTCACTATTCGGCTTGTCCCGGAATAACACGAGTTGGTCACGAATGGAATTTGTGCATAAGGCGACGACAACATCCGGGTCGTTTTCCTACTTTTTTTGACGGAAGAGTTCCAAATTGCCGCTTGTATCATAAACAAAGAACACATTGAGCATACTCAAGCCAAGTGCGTGTTGTACTCAGATGAGTACGGACTCAAAACGTTTTATAACCTCTGCTTGAGTACAAAACTCAGCTGAGCATGAGCATGAATTTGAACCTGAAATTGAGTTGAGCACGAAATGTTTTTTATAACCTCGGGGCCGGGAATCCAAACTGGGCATTGGTGCATATATCTGTCAAGTCGACGTCAACAATGTACATCAGTTTTAACGTAAAACGGCAGACAAATAAACCCACGAAAATTGCACTTAAACAAGTGGCATTAACATCCATAAAAGAATCATTCAGCGGTTTTATGCCTAATGCTAAATGAATTAAACAAAGGTCATTAATGTTAAGATGTATTGCATAACACTTATTATTGCTTTCAACATATTTATTGGCCATGATTCCGGGGTTTTCTTTAAAACTGGACAGTCTGGAAGCTTTACAAGTTTGAACTTACCTTTGTTAGAAGGGGTTGTAGCAACCGTTTGCATGGGAGGTGGAACGATCGCCGGTGGAGATCTCCATGCATTTTGGCGAACACGGGATGTCGGCAATAGGGATCGCATCTTTCCTGTGCTGTGAGGTATTTGCTTGTAGCGGACAGAAAAACCATAATCATTGCTGACAATAACGGAGTTGAACTTAATGGTGAGAGCCGAGCCGGACGAACGGAACGTCGGTGTCTGCTGGCCGCACCAGGATCCGAGAAGGTTTCTCCATACAAGAGTGCCTTAATGAAACTTTTTTTGTAAAATAATGTTGTTACATGTAAATATAATATTATATCTTTAGAATATTATTTATATTATACTGAAATCGTGTTAGAATATAGTTTCTGTTGCT